TTAAAATAATTATTAGTATGTTAAATTGTCTAGGAAAAAATGTTGACATCTCTCATGAAAAGATAGGAATTGCAGCAGACATAAAAACTGTAAGATTCAAATATAACCCAGAAACTATAATATTCAGCTAATTTAAAATAATTATTAGTATGTTAAATTCTCTAGGAAAAAATGTTGACATCTCTCATGAAAAGACAGGAATTGCAGCAGACATAAAAACTGTAAGAAACAATCATATTTGAATGCTAGAAATAAAAAAAAAAACAGCAAAGGTAAAAGATGCTTTTTCAAGGGGCTCAGGAGTAGACATGACACAGGTGAGGGAAGAATCTAGGAACCTGAAGATATGTCAGTAGAAGTTATGTGAACTGATACACAAAGAAAAAAAGTGAGGGTGAAGAACAGAGCGTCCACGAACTGTGGGAGATTATTGAATGCTCTATTAATAATATACTTGTAATCCAAAAAGGAGAGGTGGGGGGAGTGTGGGAGGAAGGCATTGAGAGAGAGACAGAGAGAGAGAGAATAGTAACTACCCAAAATAAATAAAACAAATATGGATACTTCATATTCAAACTGGTGAAAACCAAAGATAAAGAGAAATCTTGAAGGCAGCCAGAGCAAAAGGAGAAATTACACACAAAGGAACAAAGAAAAGAATTGCAGAATTCTCTTCAGAAACCACGCAAGCCAAAAGACAATGAAGTGACAACTCGACAGTGTTCAAAGACAAACACTGTCTTCCCAAATTCACTACCCAGCAAGAACATAACGAAACACGAAGAATAAATGCTTTTTCATACAAACAATAACTCAAAAAAAACAATATGAGCAGACCTGCACAAGGAGTGCTAAATGGTGTTCTGAGAAAAGCCATGCACTTTACATTTATCAACATCTTTACTCTCTTCCTGGATAATGCAAGAAACATAGATCACTTTAGCTCTGTTTATGTCCTTATAGTTTATATGCATTTCTTATTGGATATTTTAATTCTCTATATTTTTAACCATAAAAATTACTGTTTTTCTACATAATCGATGTTCCTTTGCATTGACACATATTTACCACTTGTTTTGCTGCTTATTATTGCTTCTAACATTTAGACCATCCATCAAGAATTATTTTCCTTCTGCCTAAAGAATATCCTTCAAAAAACTTAGCGAAAGTCTGTTGCTGGTGAAGTCTCTCATTTTTTTTTGTTGAAAATATAATTCATTTTGCCTCTATTTGTGAAGAATGCTTTATCGGTATATTAAAATCCAAGTTGGCAATTATTACCTTCAGCATATTGAAATGACATTTATGTTCTCTTTCAACTTTCTTGCTCTTGTTAAAAAGTCAGCTCTCAGTCTGTTATCCTTTTGAAAAATAACCATTTTCTTTGTTTCCAATATTTTTCATTGTGCCTTGATTGCCTGCAGTTTCACTATGAAACATAATAGTGTAATTCTTTTAATTAATCTTGCTTGGGATTTATAACATTTCTTGAATCTGAGGATGTGTATCTTTCATCGGCCCTGGGAAATTCTCAACCAAATTCTTATCAAAATTGCCTTTGACCCATTTTCTTTCTCTCGTCTCCTGAGATTCTAATTGCCTTTCATT